GGGTCAAAAAATAAAAAAGTCCACCCATAATCCATTAATTTACATCATGTAGGATATACACATTTTCATGGATTCTAAATTTCTTCCATTTATTAATTGATAGATAAATCATAAGCAATTTCAGGAGTGAGCAACTGACAAAACATATTGTGATGCAAACATTACCCCTTACAGACTTGTGTGCAATGCTGTGATGCAAGTTTGAAATGTCAGAGGTGGCACTGTAATGTCATGATGTTTTGTCATTTTGCCATCATTGTGGTTAGGAGCAGATGTCCTGTCAGTTAGGATTGCTACAAGAGTTGTTCACAAGTGGCCTCTCAAAGTTCGTCTGCCATATTAGTGGGCAGATTGGAGGGATAATTTCTTTCCCAGGCAGGAAGAACTTCTTCAATAATTCCCACATGGTGGGGCAGTCACCTTTGGCAGTACAGTAAGCCACCCCCCCAAGTGATGCTGCCCCCAACATCTGAAATTCAGTAAGGTTCCCCACATTAGAGTCAGAAGCTTGATTTAAAAAGAGAGACCAAGAGAAAGAGTTAAGATTCTAAGAATGCTGAACTTTGTCTCAAGTGAGAGTTGCTGTAATGATGACTATAAGTGCAAGCTATAAAGTTTCCTCCATTCAGATGTTGATATACTGTAGATTCTTAATACAGAGTTACAGGCCCAGTTTGAAAGTAATGGGATCAAGCAAGGTTGTGGTGCTCTTGACTTGTCCTGAGAAAAAGTCAGGATTTCCAGTTCAGATACAATACTGAACTCATAGATAAAATAATTTAGTTGCATCTGCTAATGGGAAGAGCCAAGGGAAAGCAAGCAAGCAGCTATGTCCTGGTACCTTTGCTCCTTTGCAATAAATCAGAATCATCATGTGTAACTCACTGAATCAGTATTTTGCTCCCAAATCCCAAGATATAGAGATATTTGTCAAAGAGTATTAACCTGTATAAGAAATGATGGAATATGATTTTTCCTTTTATATCCATGGGAGCTGAGTCATCCTGGGCAATCATAGGCCTCCTGTACCATGTCACAGCTTTGGCTGGATGCCCTCAAACATGCCCAGGTTTGCCATGAGATGTGAGGAGAAAAAACATTTATATTGTCCTGTAGAGATCCTTTGCATACCAGTACAACAGTCAGGGTGGGCAGGATCAAATGCCGATTACTTTAAAAAACTATTTGCACATTCACATAGTATCTTAATACCTGCATAGAATATACAGTTTTACTAAAGTCTTAGTGTAAGCTGCTGCTATTTTTAACTCCTTTTTGAAATTATAGCTTCCTTGTTTTAAATCAGAAGGAATGAGCAAGCAAGACTGAGAGGTAGAGTGCTCTTATCTCCAAGGGCATGTCTGCTCTGCAAGAGAGCTCATTCCCATCTGGTACAATGTTAGTTCACTCCATTGGTCTGCTGCTGAAGCAACTTAAATGTGGAATCTGCTTCTTACGCTTAGAATTGTCCCCCATATTGGAACCTTTTGGGAATAGCTTGAAGTAGTTTTTTGCTCTTTGTTATACTCTTTTTTTTTTTTTTTTAAGAACCCCATCTCTCTCTGTTTCTCTTCTTGGAGAATATAGCTGCTGCATTTGTTTGCAAGGTTTCCAATTATAAATGAAATTGATTTTAAGGAAAATGAGACAGAAGTTCCATTTAGTAAAAATAGTAGCAGCAGTCGTAATAATAAAAGACAGTCTTGAATAAGCAGAATTTCTATACAGTACAACTGTATTTACTCTGCAGAAGGGCCAACACAACCTAAGATTACCCTTGCCTCTAAATTACCTCTATATGCACAAAGAGAAGTAGGGATGTTGGGTAGAATACTGCGTAAGAGGCAGCAGAGAGACCTAGAACCTCTTAAAAAATGAATTTTCTATGTTAATAGCTGTTAGAATGTGACTTTATATAGCCCAGTTTATATACTTACCTAAGTGGCTTTTCCATGGAAAGTATAAATGCTTGTATGTGCTATCAGTATAGTATGTAACACAACAGCGTATATTGAAGATCTGTGCAGTGTTCCCTTTTTCTCCTGAAATACCCATGTAAATGACTGTATTGCATGTTATCCTGTATGTACTGTGGAAGTAAAGAAAGCTCGCTTTGGAAAGATCTCATTAGTAACATGTATAGAGGGCATTGGGAATGGCCTTGAAGGATAGGAGGAAGATTGCTACCAAGGCAATAGTCAGATAAGTGGGGCTTGAGCCAAGTCTAGAAAATAACTTGGACTTGATCAGAACATGTAAAACTTCTTCACCATAAAAAATATTTCTAGTTCATAGGAAATCCATTCAGGTGACTAAGCATCAAAAAGCCCTAGTTAATATTTGCTTAGGCATTTTTTTCTTTTTAAACATTTTTTTTTTAACCCTACATTCTGGGAACAGACCAGTACAGCTCCTGTTTATTTCACTGGGGCTCATTGCTAGGTTGTACTTTTCCTTAGATCTGTTGAAATACATTTTATGGCAGATTTATATTTCAGCTAATGTTTCATTAAAGAACATTTCACTGCTGTTGCCTTTAGTAGTAATGGGCATATTTGACCAGGATATACTAAGAAAATGTTTCCAGATTAGCTGAAATGAATGCTTTTTATTTTTTTTTAAAAAGGTTGACAATCTGAAAGCATATTTTAATTTACCAAAGCAATTGTTCTGAATAATTAACCATGAATTGCCTCTCTTTTTAATCCAGTCAGTGTTCTCTAGGGATCATTTTTTAAAAACTTCATGTACTTGTGGGAAACTAGAAATGTCAGAATTTGTGATGTTAACTGGATTAGGCTGAATTGTTTGTGTTCATATATTTTAAAGATGTCCACAAGGAAGAAAAGTTTTATTTTGTTTTTGGAATGTGTAATAGCTAGCCACAACTAGTGAATTGTTTTTTTTTTAAAAAAAATATAAGCTGAATATTAATTTGATACAGTTAAATAATTCTCTTTCACTCTGATACAGATCCCCACTGTAAACATTTGTGTAAACATAAGCTGTCCATTCAACTACAATGAAGTTATTTTCATTACAATGGAGAAACTGGCATGCAATCTTTCCCTTAAGATCCAAGGACTGCATGCTGCTAGATTTAAATGCACTTATTTAGAAAGAAAAGTGTATTTTAGAAAGAAAAGTGTATTTTAGAAAGCAATCTTATATTTGCATGACTTCAAGAAGTAGGGAAATGATGCACCATCAGTCTACTGGTAGAACAGCTGTCATATCCGGTGACTGCTCAGACCCAGAAAGAAAGGGAAAGACTCACAAATACAAATTCTGAGGTATTGTACTGGAATATTTGCCAAGGTGGCAACATATAGGACATTTCACTGGTTACCATCTTTTGTAAAACATTTGTTTACCCCGTCACTTCTGCTTAAACCAGTTCTCAAAATGACTTAGGAAAAAAAATAAGCTATTTTAATGTGAATTAAAAGCAGAGGCTTCCTTCCTAAGAATACTATCTATGGAATGGGTTTGTAAGAAGGGATGTCTCCTCCCTTCACCCTGCAGGTTCCTCTAGGCCCTGGATAGTTTCTCCTGGGGGTCAGAGGCAATCATTTCCAACCCAGTAGTCTATTCTATAGATAATGAATGAAAATATCAATTTGTAACTATGTTTAGGAAGAAAATGTATTAAATCAGATACTTGCAAAGATGTACTTAGGATAATTGTGCTAAAATCACATGCTATTCCAGAAAAAATGACACTATACACAAGCCATACAGTGAGACCTTTAATCTAATTCTAGAAATAAGAAACATTCATAATTCAGAGCATTAAAGGGAAGATCTGTAATAGCCTATCCCAGCTTGATAGCTACAATTCTCAACATTCTCAACAAATCTGAAAGGCACCCAGCTAGGGAATGTCATCTATAACATAGCAAGGAAGCATAAAACCCATGGCTGGCAGAACTGAATTTCAAGGTTCAGTCTGTTTTTTTAGTCATACCCTCTGACTGTCAGATAGAAGGCTTTGAGGTGACACACTGAGAAATACAGTATTTGAAATCCTGGAGAATGGTGCCTCCAGTGATTTTGTTCAATATTAACAGGCAGATCCTTCCACGTGTGAATATTTCAGTGCTGGAAATAAGTTGGAACAATAAAGCCAAACTTCCAAATTCTTTTGCAGTATATCTTAAAATATATTCTGAAATGTGGCCAGCAGCTTCTGCAGCAGTATGTTGTTTCTGACAATATATAGCGCATTCAGGAACCAGAAGCATAGCAGAAAGCTGTGAATCTTACAGTGGTATACTTCCCTTCCTTTTGGTGTGTTCCTGGTGAGCCTTATCACTGACACTGGGGCAGAGGAGTTGCACTAACAGTGATTCATTTGCTTATTGTGTGCAAATAAACAGTTGGCAGCATGAGAGCTGTCTCTTAAGCAGTGCAACAGCACACGGTAACACCTTCCCCGTTGTATATGAGCTTGTTTTCCCCTTCTCACCCATATATAGCAATTTGTTATTCTTCCAATAAGACATATCTATAGGCAAGCTCTTCTTCCAGTCTATGTTCCATTTTTTGTTAAAACAGGAGAAAAAATGAAGTGATCCATGTTTATAATATGGTATTTGGCCTTTATTTTTAGAGCTAAAATGTCCTAAAGCAAATCTTTAAAATCCTCCTGCCTCATTTTGATTTCCCAAGATTTTCCATGTAAGTTTACATGCAATACCAGCATCCAGTTACAACTTTTCAAATTTATAGGCTGCACCCCAAAGGGAATAGTAAATCAAACAAAAAAAATATTTACTAATGTCTATTGTCATGAGTACCAGGTGTTAATCATCAGTGCTGTTTAGACTATGGTATAAAGAATCCAAATTCTATTTCAAGGGTAGTGAGATGTTTGTGTATTTGTGTGTGTGGGTCTATCTGTATTCATCTTAATGTACCCTTCCTCCATCTAGTGCCTTCTACATATGTTGGACTACAGCTGTGCTGCCTGGAGTTGTAGTCTAATCTTATTTGGAGCGCCCTGGGTTAGGTGGGGAAGCTGTTTAGCTAAGCAAAATATTTACCTGTATATTCATTATCTTTATTGTGTTTGAACGTTAATACAATGAAATCTGACATCTTCATTTTTAGAAAGCTCCAGAAATCACACAATGAATATTATTTGGCTACCAAAACAGTGATTTAAAGTACTGTCAATTTATACTGTACTTTTGAGTACAGTCTGTCAAATCTTTAGCCCTGATCCCACCACAAGATATTTCCATTACAATGGAGAAAAAAAATGGAAGATAAAATTTCAAAATGTAATCATTAAGTTATCCTAATCAAGTATATTGCATGTATCTAAAAGAACTCCACAAGCTGTAAACACCTTGGCATAACATAAGAAAGGCTTCTGCTGCTTTTGATGTACATTTTACTTCATTGGCAAATGAATGACAACCCCCCCAAAATCCCCTTTTACCAAGTACCATGAATCTACAAAGAAATTTTATTTCTCTTTTATAGCCAACAAGACGATCTGCAAGATTATCAGCTGTAAGTATTTATAAGAGCTGTTTCTGTAAATATGAAGCCACAATATCTCTTATTCCAATCCATACAAGTTGGCGTTGGTCATGCCATATGGAGATAGGTAAGATAATGATACCTTAATTTGTTTTGTTCTGTTTTTTTAAATATTACCCACAAAAGAGAATAATGCAGATTAATTCTTATGTCTGGAATAACTGAGGACTGCTGTGTTTTTCTCTTCCGTGAACATTGGGAAGTCCCAAAGCAGCTTTGTTCTGTTGAAGTTTATTTTGAAGCTGAGAACCCTAGACATGTAGGACACTGTTACAACATTTAGCATACCTATAAATATGCATGCAGAACACAACTTGTTGGGGGAAAAAACCCAAACTCTCCTGCACATTTAATCAATATTGCTTCTGCTTAAGATTTGCAAAAAGCCGTATCTCTTACTAAAACCTCTGCCTCTTTCTTCCTAAGCGCCAGCTTAGGTTTGTTTCCTTCTTTTGAATGAAGGTGTCACTAGCCAGAGGCTAGAGCAGAGGTCCCTTACCCTTTTGGCTCTTGGGGAACACTTGGTTGTTTTGTAGATGTGATGACCAGTGGCTGCAAGACAAGTAAACACAAAACAGCTGCCTCAGAGCCCTGGCTATCCACAGCAGATTAGGAAAAATCCATTAATGGTAAACTCCTTTTGTCTTGTTTCTAATTTTTGCTTTCTTCCTGCTTCTTCTTTCTTTGCCTTTTGGCAGCTAGTGGCAGCATCAACCAAACTAATTTTTCTTTATCTCTCTCTCCCACCCCTTTCAAGCAAAATAAAACAGTTGCAACTATAGGTGCTGTTGTCTCCCAGCTTTCTGACTCAAGCGCCCCCACCCCAGTTAACACAGAGCCAGGAAGCAAGCAGCCAGTTCATGAGGCAAAGGGAGGGCTTTTCTGCGTGAGCCAGTCTAGGTCTCAGAAATGCTTGGGAAAGTAGTCCCAAAAAAAGAAAACACATAGGCCAGCTCAACTTTCATAAAAGTTTAAACGAAGAAAAAAGTTAAAACCCTCTCACTCTGAGGAAGACACATGGGAAGTTCTTGTGGACATAATGTGGGACATGCACACCCACTGGGGCATACAACCTCCACAGACCCTCTGGCTGGAGAAAAAATTCAGGATATTTGGAAGATGCTACCGATCACATTAAATTTGATTTGTTAAAGTGCAGGCTCATTCATAACCAGTCAGTTCACAGTAATGACCACTAATCCAATAAATATTTGTTGATTGGGGTTTTATTTCCTTTACAGGAAATAATATTTGGTGAGCTAGAGAGAGAGATACACCCAATTCAGATGACTAGGAAGAGTTTCTTGCAATGCGTTTATAATTTGTAGGGAAAGAAACTTCAAATGTTCTGATGAGGTATAGAAGCTAATTTTCACAAAGGAGAACACTGTTTACAGACATTAGCTCTTTCCTTATCACAATAAGGAGAGGAAAAGGATTGACATTTGTTAGCACTTGTGCTAATGGTTGAATTTTCTGAAAATATTTTCTAGAAACCAGCCCCACCAAAACCTGAGGCTAAGCCAAGAAAAACCGCTAAGGTAAAACGCTTACATTTCTTTACCATGCACAATGAATGTTTTCATATGGTTCTTAATCATCCTTTTTGGTCTGCTCTAGTCTTTCTTTTTGTATAAGGAGCTCAAAGAGGTATGTGTAGGGGTCATCCCTCATTTCATCCTCCCAGTAAGAACCCTCTGAGGTAGGTTGAGGTGAGAAAAAGAGACTGGCCTAAAATCACTCAGTGAACACTGCAGTCATACAGGCTAGAAGTTGGATTTCTCCAGTCACCTGATCATTGTTTCAGGAGATTATTCTCCATTATTCTCCATCAATATTTAAAACACAATTATTGTTAACATTGGAAATAATAATACTGGATTGTAGAAATTATTGCCATGTAAGGCATCATTAACGGCATAAACTGTACAGGTAGTCCTCACTTATCAATGCTAATTGGGACCGGAATTTCCGTCACTAAGTGACGTCATAAAGCACGATGTCATGTGATTCCATCACTTAGTGACAGAAATTCCAGCACTTGCAGTTGCTGTTGTTAAACGAATCCCACGCCTTTGTTAAGCGTGATGTCACGTGGTCACCATCTGCAACCTCCTGCTGGCTTCCCCATTGACTTTGCTTTAGGAAGCCGGCAAAGAAGATTGCAAACAGTGGTCATGTGAACATGGGATGCTGCAACATAATTGCAAGCTGGTTGTTGAGTGCCTGGATCAGGATCACGTGAACGTGGGGATGCTGTGACAGTTGTAAGTGCAAGAACTGGTCATAAGTACTACTCGTTCAGTGCCATCATAAGTTTGAATGGTCACTGAATGAGTGGTCATTTAGTGAGGATCACCTATATCCATACTCAAAGAAGAAAACACTAATTATTGTGGAAAAGGGACCAATAAATCAATTTATTCTGCTTTATGAAATCATAACTGAAGAGCCTATTGACTCTTCTGAAGACTCTGCAAACTGAAGAGATTCCATATTGGACTCAGAGTTTGGACAAGTCTATGGAAAATGGATTAGCTGCATTTTTTTTACAAGTTAAAGATATTATAATACTTTATTGCTGATGTAAATGTACAACATTACAACTTTCTTTCTTTTTTTTTATGAGAACCCAAACACATCTAATTCTCATAGGATATACAAATTAAAAGTGCGTGTGGAGAGTAATTATTTTACTGAAATAACTTCCATCAGATGTATATCACATAAGCAAAAATATCATAGTCTCTTGTATAGGCAAAATAACCCCAGGAATAATAGATAATTGTATTTTCTTCCTGTGAGTACCTGAAGCTGTATAACAAGCTATTTCAGGTACCAACTACTCTGTATTGAATTGGAAAGGGAGAATGGAGGCTTGCTTCATGAATGCTCCACAGAGATGTTGCTATTTATTTATTTTTATTTTATTTAGCAGATTTATTTAGCTGCCCATCTACCCAAGGCACTCTGGGTGGTGAATAGAAATAAAAGCAAACCATCTATACAGAATTGTTAAAAAGAAACTGGGTCACAGCCCCTAAAAATCATTACCAACTCATCAAATAAACCATATCCCCACCAGAGCTCCATCAACATCCCAGCTCCAGTACTTGGGGGGAAAGCCTGGACTTCACAGCTTTCTGGAAGGCCCACAGGGTTGGGCTGTCCATATACTGGAGGAAGGCTGTTCCACAAGATAGGTGCCATGACAGAGAAGTCACACCTCCTGCAGCCCACCAGATGACACTGCTTCCGATGGGACTTGGAACATGCACACTCTTCCAGATCCAGTGAGATGGGCAGAAACCATTGGGGATAAGTGATCTTGCAAGTAACCTGGCTCCATGTCACGTAGGGCCTTAAAGGTGACAAGTAGCACCTTGAATTGCACCTAGAAGCCCACTGGGAGCTAGTGCAGCTCATGTGCCAATAGTGGTACCTGGATGTATCATGGTGCATCCAATTTTGCATGTGCTGCTGCATTTTGGAGCAACTGAAGTTTCCAAACGCTCTTCAAGAGCAGTCCCATGGAGAGTATGTTGCAATAGTCCAGTCAGGAGGTGACTTAAGACGTGAGTGACTTGAGTAGTGCTTCCCAGTCTAGGAATGGGCACAACTGGTGGCCAAGATGGAACTGTATAACAATCCTCCTGGCCACGGCTGCCACCTGCTCCTCAAGCACAAGCTGCAAGTCCAGGAGAACCCCTGGATTGCGCACCAACACTGCTTGGGGAAGTGTTACCTGATCCAGAGTTAATGATGGAAAATCACTAGATATGGGACCCTAAAACTCACAGCCATTCAGTCTTTTCAGGCTTGACCTGAAGCCGGTTCTTCCCATCCAGACCCGCACAGCCCCCAGGCACTGAGAAAGCACTTCAGTGGCATCACTTGGATGGCCTAGGGCAGAGATGTACAACTGATTATCATCAGTATACTGATGATAGTTAATCCTGACTTTACCTAGTGGTTTCATGTTAATTAAGACCCTGTGGTGCTCCACACAGCAGAAGCCTAGGGCTAGACCTCTTGCCCCCACCGCCCCCCAAAAAGCCAAATTGACCTTGAAAGGAGAACTGCCAAAGAACTATGCCACCCACTCCCATCCCCTGAACTGGTCACCATGATCAATGGTATCAGAAGCCTCTGAGAGATCAACAAGGGCCAGGATGGATGCACTGTCCCCTGCCTGGGCCCACCTGACATCCACAAGTGCAATCAATGCTGTCTCAATACTATATCCCAGCCTGAAACTCAGCTTCAGTGGGTCCAGATAATCCACTTCCTCCAGAGCCTTTTGAAGCTACAGGCCTACCACATTCTGAACAACTTTCCCCTAAAGGGGAAAATTGGAAATTGAACAAAAATTGTCCAGTACTGCTGGGTCCAGGATGACCTCTTGAGGAGGGTGTAGACTATTGCTTCCTTTAGGGCAGGTGGACGCATCCCTTCCTGCAAGGAAGCATTCACCACTGGTTGGACCCAGCTGCATGTCACCTCTCAGGAGGCCTTGACCAACCAGGAAGGACATGGGTCTAGTACACGGATAATTAACGTGTATTAATGTGAAGTATGCCAAGGAAGCCCACTGGGTGTTGCTGAGACAGTTGTTATCATCAGAAGGTCCTTTTGAGATAAAATAGGAAGAAAATTGTACTTAGTTCTTTGCTCATGGAGGAAAGGCAGGATATAAGCATAATAAATATCACAGTTGACAGTGCCATTTGTTTTGTGTGTAGCCATGACAAGGTAATTGGTTTGAGATAATATGGTGATAAAAACCTCATAATTAATGAAAAGCATATTTTATGAAACAGTTGCAAGGTCTACCCTCGATAATTCAATGCTATATCTAATCTCTTCTTACAGCTTTTTAAATTCAGTCCCACATCTGACTTACCCTACCTTCTGCACCTTCCTCCCAAACTCTACATCAAAGCTCTTTCTATACATATGCTTAGCTGGAGCACTTTCCATGTTGGCATAGGGAAGAAGAGCACAGAGCATTCCTTTCTGTCCAAACACCATGCATAAGGAAACATTTTTAGGAGAAAGCACCAATAATAATGATGCAGGAAGGAGACCTCTAACCCCACAAATCTAGTTTGGATTAATGAGGTCTTCCAACAGGAAATATTAGCAATCACCTTGTTAAAAATAGTTAAAGTTGGTTAGAATAGCCTTCGTGGTGTAAGAGAACTCACAGTGGAATCCTATGTATGTCTATAAAGAAACAGGTCTCCCTGCTTTTAGCTCAGTAAAATGTGTATCATAGAGTAGTTGTTCAATCTGAGATGACACCATTCCAACTTTCTTTAGGGTGTAATCTTATGCCCACTGACCTGGAAATAGATCCCATTTTCTTTCAGTCCTTGCTTACAAATAGTTGGATTCAGCTTCTTTTCCATCAACAAGCAATTCTGAGTGGAAAGGATGGTCTAGGGTGATTTTAACCAATTTTCCATCCCTGCAGCTCAAACCCATCTCCCCTGTTTTTTAGAAGGTCTCCAGGAAGTAGGATATAAAGGAGTGCAGTGGAATTGAGAAAAGTGTGCCTCCATTGTGCAGCAACATTCTTCCTTGGGTCTGAAGTCTCTATCTAATTGAGGCAGTGTCCAGATCCAATCCTACATTAGTGTGTTTAGTCTAAGATATAAACAAGCTACAGGCTGGGAATGTTGCTGAGGATTATTTCTTAGAATTTCACCCAACAGTGTATTCCATGTTCTTTTCAATCAATTTCCTCTACCCTTTCCCATTTATTATTTGCTATGCTGAAATAATCCCACATTAGATAATATTTTAATGGGCAAGATTAACCAACAATAATAAAATATTCCATTTCATTGTCTTCTGGAGAAGTGGGGAGAAAAAAAAGCATGAGTTATCTCATTTCTTGTATACAAAAGAGAGAAGCATGTTCCCATGACAGAAACATATTAAATGCATCTTTTCCCTTTCTATTTGGAAGTGGGCTAAAAGCGGGGGTGGGGGGGAAGTACAATCGATCATGAGCAAAGTATAGTACTTTTACATCTTTCAGATTTAATGGTAGAGAAAAGTTTCTAGCCGTGACAAATCACATAGATTTCATTTTAACAAATGAAATCAGTAAGTTTTGCTAAAAAGCATTTTGGTGTTTTTTGAAGACTTGATTTTTAATTGTAAAAGTAACATGGTTCTTTGTCATTGATTCTGTATATATCTATGGGCAGAGCCTCAGTCAGAACATCCTAGATGTGAGAAAACTTTGGCAAGGGTCAATTCCATTTCTTTGTGCACCCCTACTATTCCACTCCCTACCATAGTGATTCAAGTTAGAGTAGGATGTGAACTGTGTTTTTGTGAGGCACTGCTGGCTACTGCAGTCACAGTCCATCACGTCAGACCTAAATCCAGTCGTCCTATTGATACTCTATAACATCAGGATAAGTATACTGCTATGATATTCAGTTTCTTGGGAAATACAACCAACCTGATTCTTCTACTAAAAATATGGGAGGTCTCAGAAGCTAGTCATTTGTTGTTCCTGTAAAATATTTTGTAATCCTTGCCAATCAGCAAAATTTTGACTGTTTACTGCCCTCTAGCAGATGTCTCCTCTATGAAGGTAAAGAGCTCCACTATCTCATCGGTCAACCATTTCTGTATTTCTCTCCTGATGAGGGATTCTCATTTAGTTATTAGATACTACCCAAACAGGTTGTTACCTGCCATTTGCTATGCTGGTTTCTTCTTGGAGCCTTCATAGTCTTGACTCAACTAAAGTCCACACTATTCCAGCTATAATAATAACAACAACAACAACACAACAAATTAAATAACATCAGAGTTCCAACCCTGAATGTGACATGACAGCAAAAGATACCTTGAAGGTGTGCATCAAAGGGTAGGGTGGGCTTTCACCAAAATTTTCTCTACTCTGTAACATTGATTGTGGCTTTGTATAACTCCAGAAACTTATGTCCACAAACATGCACCAATGTGTTCTCAAAGAACTACAGTTAAAAGCAAGTAGCCTGTACTATTTCTGGAGAGAAGTTTTACTTGGGTGCTTTCTCCATTGTATAATAAATCACTCTGTACATTTGATCTGTTATCAGAAGGAACCTGGAACAAAGGCTAATAAAGGTTCTAAAGGGAAGAAGGATGAAAAACAGGAAGCTGCAAAGGAAGGTACTACACCATCTGAAAACGGTGACAGTAAAGCTGAAGAGGTACTTTATATATCCTGCTGATTCAGTCAGTGTGTTTTACAATTCAGTTTCTGAGCCGTTGAAAGCATGTTCATAATACTTTTTTTTATTGCCCCGTAATGTTATTACAGATTCGCATCTCGCTCAACTGTTAGTGTTTCAACATCCAGAGGTGTCCCACCCAGCACATGTCAGTAAAAGGGCAGATTGAAACAGTGAAAGTTAAGGGTACAGTAGAGCATTCTGCATATGCAGTGAATAGGAACAGGTAGTAGTGTGGTGCTTTTCATTGTGAACAATGGAAGCTAGCAGGTAAGGTTTCTATGGCTTTTGCAAACCAGGAACCTGTCAATTTTAAGAGTGTTTATAGTTGTTCTGTCTATAATACTGTAGTTGTTAAATAACCTGTTTTATCTGCTTCAGACCTTTGTAGCAAAAGGAAAGGTGGCGAGTGCTGAAAAGTTGTTTAGCTATGATGAAGTAGGGTTTGTCTTACTTTATAAAAAGCAGACTGGTATAACATTTTCCCCTTTCCCTTTTACAGGCACAGAATTGAATCAATAGATGACAAGTGCATGTGAAATGACATGAACATTTGAGGATGTTTTTATGTACCTCTTGACAACTTTTAAAAGATATTTTTATCAAGTATTTTGTAAATGCTAATTTTTTAGGACTTACAATAAGTTGATAAAACTATATATGAACACTTCTTCCTTCCGTATCAATGCTTCTAGAAATTCCCAACGTTGTCAAGTTAAGAAAAAAATGAATCATTAACACAACTTTGGAAAAAAAAAGTATTTGTAAAATTGTACAAGCATTCCATATATTTGCCTTTCAGAAATGTAAGTCTTGGTGCATATGGTGGTGTTTTTACTGTGGGTGTTCAGATTTTCCTTGCCATTTTTTTTCCCTAGAGCAATAATCTGTGGTGCTTTTGTATTTAAGGATTAAGCGATTTTAATGAAACATGTATACATTTGGCTACCTGCTGACTGTATGGGGTTCTTTTCATTTTTTAAAATAACGAAGTCTCAGTGCTAGCAAATATGGTTCACTGGTATCTTTCTAAATCAGAGGTATGCCTTCTAGTGCTTGTCAGAAAAATATGAAGCACACTTATTTAGAAATTTTGTTACAGTACAGTGATTTCAGAATCAAGATTGTCACTCATGGAAAACAGTGGGGCTTACAGCACAATATTAAAAAAAAATTGGTATACTTCATGGTTAGGAACAGGAGATAAGAATAACATTTACAATTCATGTATTTTAAGCAAACTAGCAGAGCTGTAAGAGGTAGCCACCCCCTTTGCAGAGCGATTTGCCAAATATACCAGAACACCCAAAGCCTAGATGCAAAACTAGAATGTTTATGGAGCTCCGGTGAGCTCTCTTGCATGCCTGGATGGTTCACACATCCTGAAGGCTTTACACTTTATACAAAAAAATCTAAGATGCCCATGGATTATATAACAGCACTGTTTTATGCTACAGTATTGTAACAGTGGAAAGTAGATAATGCTTTCTTGAAAGAACAGTTGTTTCAGTTTCGCATCTCCTTCTCTTAACTGTCTCCCAATCCATATAAATACATAAGGC